ATACGCAAAAAAGTCCACTAATTCCATCTGCATTGAATTAATCAATATATCAATTTCGAAATTCGCCAACAAATAGATAAGATAAGATAATAATAAGGCAAATAAAAAATTAAGTCAATCAAATTCAATATGAAACAACAGGTGTTCGTTTTATTAGCAAAAACAATTAAATCGAGATAAAGTCAAGGATCGATATATGAAATCGATGAATCTATATATAATTATTAAGCAAAAACAGTGGAAAATTGTAAAAAATAATCGTATGCGGAATTAAAATAATAGATAATAGAGTTTTAATAATATTCGGATAAAAAAATATATTTCCTATAAAGAAATTTGCGTGTCCATATACATTTCACCAATTGTTTTTAATTGCTTTTATGTTTTAGCAAGTCCATTTATTTAATTGAAACAAACAATGTTTTAATCAAAATTGTTTCATAATAGTTTCATTACGTGTTTATCAAAACGAAATTGCGTCCTTGAATTTAACAAAATGCGCAATTAGAACACCAAACTAATAATAGTTTGAGATAAAATAGATTTTCAGATAATTGAGATAAAATCTTCTTCTTGCAGAAGAAGATACTATACTGAAAACTATCATAAATAACATTGAATAAATCAATATAGTTTATTATTTTGTTTGATTTATATTATTATTGTTATTATTCGATTCCATTCTATTAAAATTTAAGGTCAAATTTGAAGTCAAAGATCGAGACATGTCTACGAATTGATTTGTATATTTAACAAATGCATTTAAATTATTTATGAGACTTTGGAATAGAATAAAATTAAATTTAATAAATATTTACTAACAATTATATTATTTAAATTCACACACAACTAGTTGTGTATGGCATTGTGCCTTAAGGCAAATTGCTGGAACTTCCCGTACCGTAACGAAATGTTCGAGGAATACTGAATGTTTTCAAATAGATTATTATTAATATTGTAACATTGTCGAATATTTATAAGAATTATATAAATTGAATTGCAAAGATTGAAAATATTTGTTTAGAACTTAAGTCAGAATTACAATTAAAATCAGAATTATTTTCTATACACAAAAAAAAAAAATTTTGAAAAAAAAATTGAAACTAAAATTTTTTTTTCAAAAGCAATTATTTTGTTAAGACAAGAAAAAAGTTCTTTGAATCATTCAAATCGGATGTTTAGTTTTCTTACAACTGCCATTTTTTTAACATTTAGCTCTGTATCTCCGAAACAGCTGGGCCTACCTTTGTCTAATAACCACTTTTCCCCGTCACTACGAATTGAATGTTTTTTGGATCATACAAACCGGATGCTCCGATCTCTCAAAAACTCGATTTCTATTTTCTGCACTCTTTGCCCCATATCTCCGTAACTGCTGGACCCGCCTTTGCCAAAAACTAATCAGCTCCTCTCCCTATCAATAGGAATCGAATGTTTTTTGAACCATTCAAATCGGTTGATCCGTGCGCCCGAAAACGTGGACGAAAAATTGTTTCCATACATACATACACACACACATCCATTTGGTTTCTGAGGTATGCCAAAATGTTCAGAAACCTTCAAAACGTCGAGAAATGTAAAAATTTTCAATTTTAATTTTTGGACGATTACATTAACCTACCCTAAAGGAAGTTAAAAATAATTATAAAAATTTTTAAATATAAATCTCAAAATTTTGCAAATGTCTTAGAAAATAATTATCTTTAATTAATAAAGACGTTGAAAAAAGTAAATATAGTAAATGTCGCACATGTAATCCACTACATATATATTTTGCATTCAATACTTTGTTTAATAATATTTTACTTTCATTAGTTATTTCATTATTCAAATATATTTCCAAAACTTATAAAAAAATTGATTAAGGTTTATTTATTGCAAATGAAAATATCAATTTAAAATTGAAATAAAAAGAAGTAATTAACTTCCCGTAGGGCAAGTTATAGTAATCGCAAAAAAATCGAAAATGAAAATTTTTATATATCTTTACGTTTCAGAGGTTTCTGAACATTTTGGCATACCTTAGAAAAAATGGATGTATGTGTGTGTGTGTGTGTGTGTGTGTATGTATGTATGTGTGTGTATGTATGTGCGGATACAAATTTTCGTCGACGATTTCGGGAACACGGATGAAGCGATTTGAATTTTTAATTTAATGTAAATTTAATGTAATTTTTTGTCAAATCTATAGTTCCTCAAAAATCTAATTTTTTCGAAGTAAAATTTTTTCAAAAATGTTAATCGTTTTTTAAAAAATAATAATTTTTGGTACGGGAAGTTCCAGACACGATGCCTTAATTTTCTTAAGACAGAATTCCACTTACAGCTAGTTTTTATTTTTAAATTACAAAAAAAATATGAAATTTTGCTTGCCAAACAAAACCGGTACGGGACTTTTCACTCTAACCTGAAACGACCGCTCGTTTGAGGTTACAGTGCATTTGCCGGTACCGGTTGTCGGTGGGAAGTGATTGCATTTTTGTAAAATTAGGATAATTTATGTATACATATATATAAATATATATATATATATATATATATATATATAAGATAATTTTGAATGATAAGAACATTTAGATTCATTAATTAACGCAATTTTACTCCTGAACTATATATGACTGATAGCACTTCATGACACTACTGGACGCTCGGATTTATAAAATCCGTAAATATCATTTGATTTTCTCGCTAATATTTAGATATTCTGAATTATCATTGTGACTAAATTTCGGTTCTGTCTTATTCAAAACTAAATTGGCAATTGAAGTAGAACTACTAAACTTCAAAACCATTTGATAAAGAACGTTCGTTGCCTAAAAGATTGAAAAAGAAAAATTTCTATTAATTACAAGACAATATTCAAATTTTACTATTGATCACAATTACCATTATTCATTATATAAAAATCTAAATTGATACAATTGCTGTGAGTTGTAATAGTTTTGTGTAAAGTTCAGTTGAACAGTTTCTTGGTAAATAACAGTTTATATAGTTTTTAGGAAAATGCTTTTAAAATTTTGTTAAAAACACTTTGTTCGATCTCAACATGGGCTAGAAAAAGCTAGTCCTGTGTTCGATCCAAATCCTGCTCAGCTCGATATCAGGCAGCATGATACCAAAATTTATAATCAAAATATGAACTCAAGAAGCCTCTGTCAGCTCGATATCGGGCAGCATCATACCAATTTTTTACTTGAGGTCCTAGACAAAATATGAACTCAAAAAGATGTCAAAACAATAGCCGATTGTCCTTGGACAGATTGTAGTTTAAACAAAAATAGGCAAGTTTTTTTAACATCCCGTAGGGTAAGTTGCAGTAACGCAAAAAATCGAAAATGAAAATTTTGATATGTCTTTACTTTTGAAAAGTTTCTGAAGATTTTTGGCATTTCTTAGAAAATATAAATGTATGCGTGTGAGTGTGCGGATATAATTTTTCGTCGACGATTTTGAGAACACGGGTGAACCGATTTGAATAATTGAAAAATTGCAACGCGATTGCTTTAAAAAAATATTCAAAATTTTCAGAAAAATTTAAACCATAAAAAAACTCAAATTTTTCTAAAATGTCATTTTCTTTCAAAAATTTCATAATTCTCAAAAATCACATTTTTTTTCAAAGTTTTCCAAAAAAATGATTAATTTTAAAAAAATTTCAATTATTGGTACGGGAAGTTCCAGCAATTTTCCTTAAGGCTCGATGCCATACACCTCTAGTTAACTTCCCGTAGGGTAGTTATAGTGATGGGCCGAAAATCGAAAATGAAAATTTTTGCATTTCTCGACGTTTTGAAGGTTTCTGAACATTTTGGCATACCTCAGAAAAAATGGATGTATGTGTGAGTGTATGTATGTATGGAAACAATTTTTCGTCCACGTTTTCGGGCGTACGGATCAAACATTTGATTCCCATTGATAGGGAAATGTGCTGATTAGTTTTTGGCAAAGGCAGGTCCAGCCGTTACCTAGATACGGAGCAAATAGTGCAGAAAATAGAGATCGAGGTAGGCCCAGCGGTTTCGGAGATACATAGCTGAATGTTAAAAAAATGGCAGTTTTTGAGAGAACTAAACGTCCGATTTAAATGATTCAAAGATGTTTTTGCATATTTCAACAAAATAATTGCTTTTGAAAAAAAAATTGTTTCTAATTTTTTTTTTCAAAAAATATTTTTGTAATTTTGGATTAAAAATTCAAAAAATTTCCCAGGCTAAGCACAGTCTAAGCGTCACTCTAGTACAAATGCTTACCCAAGTGCGTTTAGACTGTTTATGTATCGGAGCACTTTTCCAATTTTGTGAAAACTATTGAAAAATGTGAAAATGCCGCCAAGCTAAGTACAGTATAAGTGAAAATGTCGCACAGAATTGTTTTCGATTGCGTTTAGACTGTGACTATACAGGAGCACTATTTCAATTTTGTGTAAATTAGACAACTAACTATATTTTTGAAATTGAATTCGAAATGAAATGACGATTGTTAAAGGATAAATTGATTTATGATTTACATTTGATTTGCTCAGATATAAATGTTAAAATATCATAAAATAACCTAAAATTTGTTAAATAAAATAATTATATTGTTAAAGTATTGTAAAGCTTATTGAAATATTTTTGAAAAATACTTGCAACAAACAAACTAGTTATATTTGAAAATAATTGAAATTAACTAAATATAAATAAGTTTATAGTAAATAAATTAAATAATAAATGAATAAGTAATAAAATAGCTAATAATTAATTAAATTATATTAAACCTATAAAATATTGACTTAAACCTTATTATAATATTATTATACTGACGGCTTGTAAAATTAATAAATAAATAAATAAATAAACAATAAGATAGCAAAAGTAATGAAAGCTACAGTATTTGTAATAATATATTTGAAAACGTTTAAAATTTCTCGAATATTTCATTACGGTACGGAAAGTTCCATCAATTTTCCTTAAGGCACGATGCCATACACCACTAGTTCATCCTCCTTTCATCTATCCATTATTATCTATCCCTTACCTATCATTCGACCTCGAACTAGAATGACTGGGGCTCCTCGAAACGCTGGCGGAGACGCCGCCGATACTATTGCTCTGGGCCAGATTCTGCGAAAGCCTTCCGCCGCCGGTGGTGGTGTTCGTCCCTGAACTCGATCTCGACGACATCGTAATGATGGGCACGCCACTGTCGACCGTTGAGGGGGTGCAGAGCGGCGTCGAAGGGGCCGATCGTATGGGGCCTCCATTCTGGGTACCCCCAGACGACTGTTGGAGAGACTGAGATTGGGTTTGGTTTTGGGGGATCGAGAGGTTGTTGCTGGAGGCGAAACCGTTCGCAGATCTGAAAAGATAAAAGATAATAGATACATTGATATATATATATATATATATATATATATATATATATATATACTAGCTGACCCGGCAATCGTTGTTTTGCTCAGTAAGGTATATTCTAAACAATTTCTAGAGAATCACTTTAAGTGCATAAGGATGTGTTGTTTGAATGCTGTATACAATGAGGTATTATAAAAACAATAAACCCCATTAGTTTGTCTATGTTTTGTCAATACAATCAAACTGGAAGTTTTATACACTTTCTATTGAAAACATGGTATAATCCAATCCAAGTCTTTTTTGGTCTTTCGACTTATTGATTATGTTTCAAGTTTTAAAGATTCCTTTTAGATTCTGGATTTTGTGTGTAATTGTAAATAATACTATTGCGCTTATACAAAATTTTCAATTTTTTGTGAGGAGAGATAGAAAATGAATTAAGTGTTTCTTCTTTGACCTGCTTTTTGAAATGTTTCAAGTAACATTCGATGAATTAAAGTAAATTTAATAAAAAGTATTTATGTAGAGGAGTGCAAGGCACAAAGGTCCAATTTGACTTTGAGCAAATATAAACTATATTGTGAAAACCATAACAATTATGTCACAACAAATAACACATTTCAAACGAACAATTATCTGACTACGTTCAGTAAAACTGCCAGCTACTTCATCATTGTAGAAATATGCTTTTTTGATGTCTTTCAAAAATTTGTTATCTAGACCTTTTTACCCCATAGACAGGGTAAGTTGGAACGGCCAGGTGACAAACATATTTAATGTCTTACTTTAATTTTAAAGGTATTTTAAAAAATAATTACATTTTTAACTAATGCTAAAAAACTACCAACGGAAGAAAATAGTTTTATTATGGATTTTCAAAGATTACCGTTTATCTCCCCCATTTCAAAGATTATCGTTTTCAAATCAAGTTTGTAGCTGGTTTTACATCTTTTTTTCTCTACTTTCAAATATTGTTGTTAAACAATGCTTAATTTTACTGGTTTTTGACACATTGGTGGTGTACCTTTTTAACCCCGGACCTTCTTATATTTCTATCTATTCTTCGATGAATTCTAGGAAATTATAACTGGGAAAATGTTATTCAACAAATTGTCCATTTGATCGATACCAAATTTAGGTTCTGAATTTAAATAAAATAAATATAAAATAATATAACCCAGAAAATATTTTATAAATACCAATGAGTATATAATTATACAAATGAGATCTTTCCGAGCATCGTGTATGAGAAAAATATGCCAAAAAATGGATTTTCATATTAACATTTCAGAAAATTTGATATTTTGAGTCTCTAGTAACGCTTGCGATCCGTTTAATAATGTTTTTGTATATAAATAAAACTACAAACAAAACTACGTACTACAATTTAATCATAATTAAATAATATTCCCGTAAAACATCCTAAAACGTAATTGAACATCATCTGTCAAAAACGTTTGACATTTCACGTATTAGCCACCGTCCATTGTTTTATTTAAATTACGCTTCTACAAAAATTTTCAAATTAAAAATGTAAATTTTCTACGCGATTTTGAAATAATATCTCACCTTTCCCACAACCTACTGATTAGCACGAATTTTTCAAGACTAAGACTGGCCAAATCGGTTAAGCCGTTTTCGAGTTTTATCGAATCATTTGATCGAAAACTCCATTTTTATATATATGATATGTCCTAATTTATGTTTGCTACAAAAAAAGTATTTTAATACTTTTGCGACAGCTCGTGGTGTGTTATTTTGCAAAGTTGAAGTCGTAAAAAGCGGTTTATTTACGTAGTAGTGTTCTACTAAATTTTAATGTGAAGTAATTAAAAAAAAGCAGAACTTACTGTAATGGAATAATAAAATTGCAAAATTGGGTTTTTATACTGGTTTTATAAAAAGACTTACACCACACATGCGCATATATATATATATATATATATATATATATATATATATATATAATTTTTTTGTTCGAAATAAAAATTGTTGTAAAATAATAATATATTTTTAAAAAAAATAGTGTTTGTACATTCATAGTCATTGAAAGAATTCTTTATGGTAAAAATATTTGATTGTATTACTGTCATATTTTAGTTTTTTTCACAATGTAATTTTTTTACTATAATTTGTCGTTTAGCGACCTTGTATTTTTTATTTAATTTATTTTGTCTTCAAATTCTGAATGTCAAAATAATTTCACTGCAATTTAATGATAAGTTAATATTTCAAATATAACAATATTATTATATGGATACGAATAGTTACCACAGGGATAACTGACTTGAATTTTGTTTTTAGCAAAGAAATGTTAGAAAATTTCAAGAAAATTATATGAATACACATAACGATTTACATATCATTGTATTCTGCATCTTTTATTCAAAGAACATTTTTTCGTATCTTTTACTGTTGCCTGTAGTATGGAATTCGTGTGAATATTCAGTTGTTCAAATACAAACGTAATTTGAAATTTATGTTATATTGGGACACAACCCAAAAGGTCGCCATAAAATTGCTAAAACTTGTTATAAAAATTTTATATATTTTTAATTATTTCTAAAAGTACATTCTCCTCATTTTGCAAATTCTTCAGAGTTCATCGTGACGTTATTTTTGCAAGGTGACACATTGACACCGCACAATCGGTCATCAATCGTGATATGGGGCATGATGATTTAATAAAAATAATAAAGTAATTTAAAAATAAAATATATAAACATTTCGTGACGTGCGTGACCTCACATCTTATCTTATTTATAAATTTTGTTGATCTTTCATAAAATTTTATATGTTAAATTTATGTGGTGTGATTTGGTAAAAAAATAATATATATATATATATATATATATATATATATGTAATATGAGATATTGTTTAAACTTTTCTAGTATTAATTAATAATTTTACACAAATATAATTTTGTGGGAAAAAGAAAATGTGTGCGCATAAAGTATTATATATTGATTAAAAAGTATTTCTTTTGATTGTTTTGTTTGGCACTATTTTTATTTGATTATTCATATTTATATCAATTTTAGAACTGCTAATTGATGACACTCATGTTGTGTCAAAACGTAAAAATTGTCTCAAAAACTATTTCAAGTTTCATTAGGAAGCCAATTTCTTATGAGTATATAATGAATTTTAATTATTTAAATATGATACACGTTCGTCCTAAATATTTTCTCAATTCAGCTGAATAAATAATTTAATAGTGAAACTGGTTTTAGATAAATTAGAATGTCCTAAGCCAAATGTTTCATTAAAATAATTATGATTCAGATGAAATAGTAGAAGTCAATGTTGATGTAAGTGAACGTTCTGCAACGTGTTGCAATACCGAAAAGTAAAAGTGACATTGTAGATATATATATATAAATATATATATATATATATATATATATATATATATATATATATCTTATATATAAAATTCTCCTGCACTAAAATCTTTCTGAAGTTATTTAAGGATTTTTTTTAGGATGTAAATGATTACAAAAATATAGTATTATTGTAGAAATAGCTGGAAAAAATTGCAAGAAATGACATGTTATTGTTTGACATTGAAAATAGTTTGACAAATGAGAACTGTAATCTGACAGAAATTTCAATTCACTTATGGACCTAGACAATATTAGAATATAACAAATTCATGATTATGAATAAGAAAAATGAAATTTCTACATTATTAATGCTAAAAAGCAGCTGAGATGTATTGTTTGTAATGTATTTGAATGTAATTCAAACAATATAAGATACAGTCAACAGTATATGTTGGTAGATGAAATCATATAATTCAGTTCGACAAATTATTATTTCTAACTAATGCATGTCGTGTTTTGCCTTCAAAATTCATCCAATTTTTTAAAAATACCAACTAATTTTTATTATATCTCAGAAAGAATAAAAGATACGTATAAAGGTATATAGATGAAAATTCAAGGCCATTTCTGGCTAATTATTGCTTTTTAAGTTATTTCTGTTACAAAAATATTGATAGAGTTATGATTGTTTAAAGAGTGCGCGGCTGTCCAACCAGAGTGTTTTTCGAGCCCTTTAACCCTTTGCTATTTCAAAATAAGAGAAGTTACGGTAACATTTATGATAGAGAAAGTTGTATCTCATTTAATTACCTTTAAAATAATGAATTGCAAGTACTGATAAAATCGGAATTCAAAAAGTTATAATCCAATTAATCCGGGGGGTGGTGACGGAGTGCAAATTGTTTTCACTTCTGAACTTAAGGGTAAGATTAGCCTTTTTTCCAAAATATCATGCAAAGTGGAGCACAGTAAAAAAATTTACAAGACACACGCTTTTTTCCTCTCCATTTACTAATTTTGTTGATCGTAGGTTGAATAGAGCACATGTGAACAGGATTTGATAAATTAATTCACTTCAAATATAAACTTAAGTAATAATGTATATTGAATTATTCATGAGAAAAATGTAATTTAGATATTAAAATTACTAAAAGCCAGTTAAAATATGGTACGAAATTATAAAAATTATAGGCAACATTTTTGAAGCAATTATTTTGGGTAGAAAAATCGAAGGTGATATTGTACCTATACCGCGAATGCTATATATTAATTCTTTTTAAATTTGTTATACTGTTTAAAATATTGCAATTTCCAATACGTATATATTATGCTATAAGTCACAAAGGCAGATGATGAATTTTTGTCTGATAAATTTTGGAAAATCGATGTTTTAGTCGTGAATAAACAAAAAATCATTCAATTTATACATCCACATCTACAGGTATGACTGAAAAATTGTATAACCCATGGCATTAAAATAAATTGAGCTATTGGAAATAAATTTGCAGTGCACAATTTTTAATATACAATTTTATTGAACATTTTTTAATATTTTTTAAATGGATAATTAAAGTGTTAACTGTGGGAATTAAGAATAATCATTTTAATTGAAACAGTTCTACATTCAACATCACTCATATATTGGTGTAAATAGTAATTTGAAAACCAATAATGA